AAGAGGATAAAGAGGGGCTCAAGGAGATTAATTTCCCTTGCTCCCTCAGGAACCTGACGATCAGGACGTGCTTCCCATGCTACTGCATCATGATGTGCATAAAAAAAATAGAGGCAACATAATTTTGAGGGTGGAGGACACAACCCTCACTCCAACCCATCTTGCAGGAAAGAGAGCACTGAAAGGACATTCAGGATCTCCTCACGGAGAGAAGACTGACTCAACGAATAGGTTCCACTTCTCTTTGGCGTAAGCAAAACCTCCTCTTAGGGGGTGCTCTCGCAGAAGTGATGGTGACTACCACATAATCCTGCGGTAGCTACCTGAACCTCCACGTCCAACTTTAGGACCGGCCTGAAATCCTCCAGGGGTCTGAACGCAGGTGCCATCATGCCCCGTCCCTGAGAATGTATTCAGGGGAAAGTCAGAAAGGGCTGTCTTGGAGCATATCTGCTCAACACCTAATGTGATGATTATCACTGAACTTGAGTGGGCGCCAAACGATAATGAATCGCATAGCCGAGTATGATGGTCTCAGTCTGGTCCGGACCGGTTGGGAAGCTCTTTCCGCTTCTACGAACCAGGCCCAGGCCCAGAAGACCACAGACGTAGCGAGGTGGGCCCCGCGGGGGCTGCGGGGGCCCCTGCAGAACCGGAGGCAGCGGCAGGGGCTGCCCTCGCCGACAAGCAGGCGGAGGAACTGCCACCGGTGGCGGGGTGCAGGCAACAGTGGACCGCCGGGGCACGATGTGTCGGATGGAGGGTTCCACTCGAGCCCGACAGCCTTGGCCACCCAATTCAGCATAGCTGACAGTTCTGGATCCGGCTCAGGCAACGTTACACTCCCAGAGGGAGATAACGCAGTCAGGTCATCATCTCCAGAGGCCAGCTCACCCTCCGATGCTGCAATCGACGTCCTGTCCTCTGGGGGAGCCCCGGGTGAAACGGCCGCCCTACCCATTACAGATAGACCAGCATGCTCCACGGGGGACTCCAGCAGCTGCGGTGGAAGGGAGGAGTGAGGAGCCTAAAAGGGAATGGTTACCGGGCAAGACATCCAACACTATCCTCCTATCACCTACCCAACGTGGCACCCGAAGGCGGGGCATGGTAATGGGGACTCGCGCTTCGCGGACAAAGGCGAATCTTGACCTCAACACCGCGACAGTCATATTCCCGCAATGGGAACATGAACTGTCCACAAAAGCTGCTTCAGCGTGCTGTAAGCCCAAACACGTGATGCTATAATTGTGACCGTTTCAGAGAGAGACAGGGAACGAATGCTTTTCTTTTTTTTTTTTTTACACGCAAACGCACTCGTGTTGCTCTTTTAGGAAATGGGGCTGTCACCAGTGTCACTAGAAGTGATTTATTTTTAAGTGAGCGGATATTTAAAAGTGTTAACTTAACAGTCTTACTTTTTGTCCCCACAGCGATCTTAGTTTGGCGTGTGATAGGCACCAGATTAGATGGGTTTGCTGTATGGCTTTTGAAGGCCTTAGATTTTCTATCATGTAATTGAACAGCAATAGAGAAAGATACAGGCACACTGGGTTCCGGCTGACACACTTCCCACATTTTCAAAAGTGTGTTAAACAGCTTAGAAGCAGATCTCCTAGAAGTGGTAAATGCCTCACTTCTCTCTGGGAGTTTTCCAAACTCCCTGAAAACTGCAGTTGTCAAGCCCCTCCTGAAAAAGAGCAATCTGGATAAGACCATCTTAAGCAATTATAGACCGATCTCAAATCTTCCTTTCATAGGCAAGATCATTGAAAAAGTTGTCTTCAATCAGCTGAACAAATTCCTAAGCTTGAACGGATACTTTGACAATTTTCAATCTGGTTTCCGATCGCATCACAGCACAGAGACAGATCTCATAAAGATAATAAACGATATTTGCTTAAATACTGATACAGGCAAATTATCAGTACTGGTACTACTCGACCTCAGTGCTGCATTTGACACTGTCGATCACGACATACTTCTTGACAGGCTGGAAAACTGGGTGGGGCTTTCTGGGATAGTCCTAAAATGGTTCAGGTCATACTAAGAAGGGAGAGGTTATTATGTGAGTATAGGAGACCATAAGTCTGAGTGGACATCCATGACATGCGGAGTCCCTCAAGGCTCAATTCTTGCACCACTCCTATTCAACCTGTACATGCTCCCAATGAGCCAAATAATGAGAAAGAACCGAATCTCTTACCACAGCTATGCAGACGACACACAGCTCTACTTAGCCCTATCGCCTAACGACTACAGCCCCATTGACTCCCTGTGCCAATGCATTGATGAAGTAAACGGTTGGATGTGCCAAAAATTTCTTCAGTTAAACAAAGACAAAACTGAAGTCATTGTGTTTGGAAACAAAGATGAAGTTCTCAAGGTGAATGCATACCTTGACGCTTGGGGTCTAACAACTAAAAATCAAGTCAGGAATCTTGGTGTGTCTCTAGAGTCAGACCTTAGTTTCAGTAGTCATGTCAAAGCAATAACTAAATCAGCATACTATCATTTGAAAAATATTGCAAGAATTAGATGCTCTGTTTCCAGTCAAGACTTAGAGAAACTTGTGCATGCTTTTATCTCCAGCGGGGTGGATTATTGTAATGGACTCCTCACTGGCCTTCCTAAAAAGACCATAAGACAGTTGCAGCTTATACAGAACGCTGCTGCCAGGATTCTGAGCAGAACCAGAAAATTTGAACATATCACACCAGTCCTCAGGTCTTTACACTGGCTCCCAGTTACATTTAGGATTGATTTTAAAGTATTATTACTGGTATATAAATCATTCAATGGGCTAGGACCTCAATATATTGCAGATATGCTCACTGAATATAAACCCAACAGATCACTCAGATCATTAGGATCACATCAGTTAGAAATACCAAGGGTTCACTCTAAGCAAGGAGAGTCTGCTTTTAGCTACTATGCCAGCCGAAGCTGGAACCAGCTTCCAGAAGAGATCAGATGTGCTCCTACAGTAGTCACATTCAAAGCCAGACTCAAAACACATCTGTTTAGCTATGCATTTACTGAATGAGCACTGTGCCAATGTTCGTCCGACGGTTTTTACTGTACTGTACTTTATTTTATTTTTTATTCTAAACTGTTTTAATTATTTCCTCCTATGTAAAGCACCTTGAATTACCATTGTGTATGAAATGTGCTATATAAATAAACTTGCCTTGCCTACAAGTATTAGAACACGATTGGATACAGTAGATGAGAAGGTAATAAGTGATGATAAGTTATGATATATTGTAATACTTTTAGCAAGGTGAAATTTTGTGATATATTAAATATAAAACCCTGCTGCGTTAATTGCATGAAATGTTTTAGACGTGTTAAACTGAAGGGGAAAAAAGTATCGCAAAATTAGCATGTTAATTTTGAGAGACCTACAGCTGTAAATGTTTTTGTCTCCAGCATTCTAACTCATATGACAGGTTTGTTTTAGCTCTGTATGTTAATGCTTACAATTTTTTTCTGTTTTTATAACAAGCTCTATGACCTCATAAATGAACAGGAGTGATGTCAAACCTCATAGCTGTCCATTTGTGGTTGTAATAGGTGCAGATTTCAGACCACATTTCTGTGGTGTTCACTGTTCATGTGTTACGAACTGCTCCGAGACTTGGAGGTGAAGATCCAAATGCAGCTTTATTATAGAAGAGTCGTACAGGTAGGGTCAAGAGTCATCAGACAGGACAATGGAGAATGCACAGAGAGAATCCGAGAAACAGGCAGAGGTCAGGGCAGGCAGCAATAATCAGAGTCCAAGAACAATCCAAAGTCGAAAACAGCAAAACAAACACGGGAAAACGCTCGGAAATGCAGACGCACAGTACAACAAGACTTCGTGGTGAGTGAATGAATGAACATGGTATAAATAGACTGAGACTAGCAGGATGACAAGACACAGGTGAATACAATCAGTGACAATGAGGTACAGGTGAATGTGATCAGTGATGATGAGTCCAGGCAGTGAGTATGGGAAATGTAGTTTGTGAGGAAGTGATCATAGTCTATTGTGGAGCGCCCTCTGGTGGCTCTCGAGGGCACTCCAGCTGGTGATCATTACATCATGTTACTGCATCCAAGATTCCAAAGATGTGTTTTATTTCTAAACAAGTTGTAATTGTTTAATAAAATAATAAATAAATGTATTCATTAAAAATTGGAAACTCAATCAGAATACCTTGTATCATTATGCCATCACACCCAAGTTTTCACAGAAAAAATAATATTTTGTTGGGAAAAAAATCTGACAGTATTATGAAAAAATCAGTAAATAAGAGGAAAATACAGTTGGCATTTCAACAGACATTGAACAAGTTAACCCACTGGACTTTTATTTGTGTGAGGCCAATGATGTTGTTTGGATTTAGTACTGGAATGTTGACATCTGTGAATCACTTTCATAATAAAATTTGATTTATTTTTTTATTTTACAAAATTAGATTTTGCTTTAGATTATAATCCCATTTTATATACAATTATCTTATGTTATGTTATTATCTTATAATGATTATTGTGTATTTATAAATATACATATTTTAATATATAATTGTATATTTTAAAACGAGATTAAAATTATTGTGATACTGAATTATTGTTGGTCCTTGGTCAACAGGGTACTTTCGTGAGAATGCAGCCATGGCTACCTAGGACTGACTTTTAGTATCTCCCATTTAAACTGTTACATTTAAATTTTTGTATTTTATGACTGGTTTACACACTCAGAACTGTTACATTACACAAATGAATTAATTTCATTGCTAAATGCTTGGAATATTTACATAGTAGGTGGGTTTAATGTAGTATAATCAAACCTCATGTTTTATGGGATGTCCCTTTTTTCTGTTCATATAAATTAGAGTTTAAATCAGTAAAGGAAGGCAAAAAGCTGAACACTGTACTATAGCTTCAAAGAGTCTTTTGATGAGTGAACAACAGGGGCAGGCTACATATGAGGATATAATCAATTCTGGAAAATGTTTGACAGGAGCATCATGGAGGAAAACAGTCAAGAAATCCAGTATTGCTTTCCAAACAACAGTTTGTCATGTTTCAAAGAAGTCAAACATGAAGCGGAATATGCCATTTTGTATACATTCATTTCATTATTATGCGTGTTCACTGTGTTTCTGAACCTGCTGGTGATCATCTCCATCTCTCACTTCAAGAAACTTCACACTCCAACCAACCTGCTCATTCTCTCTCTGGCTGTGGCCGACCTGATTGTGGGACTTATTGTTATACCTTTAATGGGCATCACATTCATAGAATCATGCTGGTACTTTGGAGAGACGTTTTGTTCTTTATTTTTATTTATTGCTTTTATGGTTGTTTCAGCTTCTCTTGGTAATTTAGTCTTTATATCTGTAGATCGTTACATTGCTGTGAGTGACCCTTTGAGATACACAGTACGGGTCACAATTGATAAAGTTGTTTGTTGCATTATTATAAACTGGCTATGTTCAAGCATATATTCTGTCATTATCTTATATAATACTATGTTTTACCCAGACACACATAACAGATGTTACGGAGACTGTTCAGTTTATTTTAAATTTGAACATGTTGTCGCAGACCTCATAGTCACTTTTGTTGCCCCTTCTTCTGTAATCATGTCTATATATGTGAAAATCTTCTGTGTTGCAAAACATCAGGCCAAGGTTGTAAATTCTGTTGCAGGGGCCAGCAGGTCACAAAGAAAGGCTGCAAAAACTTTGGGTATTGTTGTAATGGTTTACTTTATGTGTTGGATACCATACTATATAGTCACTCTTATTGATGGAAATGAGTCATCGGTTGAATTTAATGTAACATGCTGGATTCTGTACATGAATTCTTGTATGAATCCACTTATCTATGCACTGTTTTATAAATGGTTTAGAATATCAGCCAAACACATCGTGACTCTAAAAATATTGAAACCATCATCAGAATATTTCGATATAAGTTTTTAAAGACTTTATAAGAGTTTTCTTTGGAGAGTCACTGATCTGATATATTCCTTTTTGTTTTCTTGTATTTTTTTCATTACTTTGTATTTGAGGATAAGTTATGTTGTACATCAGCAGGTGTAAGTTATAAAGTCCCTGATGAAGGTTGGTTAATACATAACATTCATAGAACTACTGCAAACACAAGTTGTTTCTTTTTACATCAAGATTTTAAATGAAAATGTATTGATGTGTATGAAGGAAAATGTCTATGGTTTGAATTTCTTTTCTTTTCTTTTTAACATCTTTGCAGTTCACTTACTCCTAAAAGGTGCCAAAAAATTGTGACAGTTATTGTAGTATTAGTATAATTGTACTATATGTAGTGTCTCAATATGAAATCATAGAACCTGCCAGTTCAATGATTATACAAGAATTAGAAAAATGCTGTTTAAGAAAAAGAAAATTCAGCAATGCACAATTAAATCCAAGGAACAGAAAACTTAATACTGAGTAAATATTTATAGAAAATATCACATTTATATTAGAGTATATATCGTTTTCTGCCTGAACCTTTTGTACTATTTTTTTGTGATTCTCTCTATATATAAACATATAATTTAGAAAATTGCTTTACTGTAAAATAATCTAATACTGCTACAAGTAACAATTGTAGAGGCTACTCCGGCAGTCAGTGGTGATGTAACCAAATTTACCAACCAAATGCAATGTGGCAATGACATTTAAAGGTTTGTACAACCAGAAGTACAAGATTTGTAATCTGCCATTTCCCATGCCCTTCACTAGTGGCTACGAACCCAGAGTACTCCCCCCTATGTAAGTAGTTAGGACTAGAAGTGTGGAGAAGGGGCGGTGGAGGGGTGCTGCTAAACTGTCAATGGATTGAGGTGAGACTGCTGAGTCTATATATACACCTCTTATTATTGATTGTTGAGTGCTCTCCACCCGAATTAATTATTTGAACGTGCTCCTCTCGAACTTTGTTAATAAAACATCATTAAAACAAAAAAGAGGGAGAAAGGGAGCTGGCCCTGGCAAAATATCTAGGCCTACTATAATATTACCATTTGCTAACTATTATGTTGTTTGCCAAAAAAGTTATTTTACCAACATGCAGGGCTACTCAAAATTGGCCATTGATTGAGAAAGAACTTTTATGGCATCTAACAGCAGGGGGAAACTTGGAAACTTGGCCAGACAAATCCTGGTGGGCTCGAACATGAAGCTCATGCTGGAGGAGTGCAAAGGCTCTATTGGTGCTGTTAATAAACTGAACCGGTTTCTACAGACATGCTGGGGAGAGCCCAAAATTTGTGCCATGAATCTTTGAAATAACTTCAAGCATGCCTTTTTTTACACGGCATTCTGTGGGCTGCCATAGACTACAAATTAGAAGAAATTCGGAACATTTGTTGAACATTTTCATTGTTTATAGATATCTTCATGAGACAGAAAAAAATCTTTAAAGATAGAATATTCAAACAAAATGTATACAGGAAATTCTAACAGAAATATCAAACCAAAAAATTGGGCTAATTGAGTCGTTCAGTCTGTTGAATTTTTTACGCTTTTTTGACAGAGTGTTTGTCACAGAGAAAGTCGCTGTTTGGAATAAATTGGCAAATAGGTAACGTCCTGGTTGTGTATGCAACCCACAGTTCCCTGAAGGAGGGAACGGAGGACGTAGTTGACTGAAATGGGATCACACTAGGGAGCCTATTGTCTTCGAGTATCTTAGAACGAGCCAATGCACATTGGCGTGCGAGATATGCATCTCACACTCCGCCCCGCAGTGCGGGTATAAATACGGAAGTAGATGCACGCACCATTTGCTTTTCGCCGAGGAGACGAGCGTAACGCGGAGTCAGCGGTGGTCCAGTGGTAGTGGCAAGGGGACTACGTCCTCCGTTCACTCCTTCAGAGAACGGTGGGTTTCCCTTTTAGTCGAGAACGTTAGACGTAGTTGACGTCGACTGAAATGGGATCAACCATTGAAAAGGCCACTAAAGCTGCCACCTTCCAGTGCCTAGACCAAGGATTCCCAAAGTGTGGTGTGGGCTGCCACCAGGGGGTGCGCGAGAGGAAAAATGTAATGGCGGTCTGTTATGTAAGTGGGATTTTTCCATACAATAAAATAAAAACCATGAACAGTAAACATTTCCTTTGTAATCGCTTTTATTTTAAATAAAAAAAAATATAATTTATTCGTTTTTGATAGAAACGTTGAAAACAGCTGCTGTCTTCTACGCACTGCTCTGCACTGCAGCCGGTAAGTGACTAATGTGCTTTCGCGCGTTGGCTGGCGCTGAGCCAGTGCTGTCATATATCACGACCATTGAGTGTTTTCAACCACATAATGTTTATTTTAGGTTACAGACATTTAAATACACATAAGTAGGCTACTAGCAAAACAATGATTTTGATTTTTGCTGATTTCTATGGAAGCGGCAATATTAATCCTTTTCATTATAATAAGACGACACGTTTTATTCATATCAGATACATATTGTGTACGTAGCTTCACATTTTACCCTATTCTTCTCCCAGTTCACCGGCCTCTTACTTTCATGTATTTCGTGAGAAGTGGAGGAATTAACGTCACGTGTTGTAAATCCAACAGATCCGATTCTCTGAACTGTGGCACAAACTAACGATCGTTATGAAGGTGTTTGAACAATAAAACAAATCCACTTGCACATATTTGACAATAGGAATATCAGTGTTTCATGCTATAAAAGCCTTGTGATCCTCTCGACATTTTTAGCGGAAGAGGATAGGACTTAGGCCAGAAAGTCACTGCTGTTCCACAAGACCCTCAGTTAGACTTGGATAACACTGGGAAAGCGTACCCTGTACATGGAAGGAAGGGACTCTGCGGAATCCACATCCGTCCCTTCCTTCCATGTACAGGGTACGCTTTCCCAGTGTTATCCAAGTCTAACTGAGTGGGGAGGTAACATGTGGAGAATACACATATGAACTGGGAGAATGACCGGGCAGTCCAGCCTTTGACGGGGGAGACAACACCGAACAGTGACGGCAGAAGGACTCTGCAAAGGGAAAGACACGGGCTCGCCGTACCGTGGAAGAATACACATATGGGATCACCGTAGGGATCGTAACATATGGAACCAGCCTAACACAGGTTCTGGGTCTGCCTCCTCCAAGGGCAGCGCTTGCAGGTTCACCACCTGGTCCCAAAAAGGGAGTGGTAGGAACCTTGGGCACATATCCAGGCCGGGGTCTCAGGACAACGTGAGAGTTAGCCGACCCGAATTCCAGGCACGAGGAGGATTTAATCTCCTTTTTCCCCTCAGGAACCTGACAATCAGATCATGCCTTCCCAGGGACTTTCCATCCACTGCATCGTGATGTGCGGCAATAGAGGCAACATACACTTTGAGGGTGGAGGGAGACAGCCCTCGTTCCAACCCATCTTGCAGGAAAGAAAGCATGGAACTGATCGAACATCTTCGGGGGTCTTCTCGGCGAGAAGAACACCACTCAACAAATAGGTTCCACTTCAGGGCGTAAGCATGCCTCGTAGAGGGTGCTCTCGCAGAAGTGATGGTGTCCACGACTGACTGTGGTAGATCACCCAGAACCTCTGCATCCCCCTCCGCGTGCCAAACGGTGAGCCGTCCCTGAGAGAGGAGTTCTTCCCTCAGAGGAATGGGGCAGGGAGGGGCTGTCGAGAGGAGCATTAGTTCGGGGAACCAGGTCCGTTTGGGCCAATAAGGGGCAACTGCTCCTCTTCCTCCGTGACTTTGCACAGTAGCTGTGCAATAAGGCTCAGTGGGGAAAACGTGTACTTGCGGAGGCCCCGGGGCCTGCTGTGGGCCAGTGCATCCGTGCTGAGGGTCCCCTCGGTGAGGGAATAAAACAACTGGCAATGGGACGAGTCCGGAGGAGGGAGACATGAAAGTACGCGTCCTTCAGGTTGATCACTGCAAACCAATCTTGGGGACGGATGCATTGGAAAATGCCTCTCTGTGTTAGCATCCTGAACGGGAGCTTGTGAAGGGCCCGGTTCAAGATACGCAGGTCCAAGATTGGCCGTAACGCACCACCTTTCTTGGGTACAATGAAGTACGGGCTGTAGAAGCCGGTCTTCATATCGGCTACTGACACCGACTATATCGCGTCCTTCGCCAGCAGGACAGCGATTTCCGCGCGAATGACAGGAGCACATTCGCTCGACACCAAAGTGTGGCAAATGCAGCTGTACTTGGGCGGATGCCGGCGGAACTGAATCGTATAGCCGAGCCTGATGTTACGGAAGAGCCAGCTGGACGGGTTGGGAAGCACTTTCCAGGCTTTGACGAACCGGACCAGGGGGACCAAAGGTACCACAGACGTACCCGGGGTGGGGCAGTGAGGTGGAGGACAGGGACCCGGCTCGGAAGGCCCGTGGGCGGCCAGAAGCAGGGTCTGAGTGTGCAGTACAACACTTACCTGTCTCCACGGGGCAGCAGGGGATGCGTGAGAAGGCGGATGACCGGGTCCTCGAACGCGTCGTGCTGCCGGCTGGCGAACAAGAGGGGGCTAAGGGGTGCAAGGCTGTTCCACAGGGTCCGGGGAGCCAGTGGTGGAACGGTAACCATCTGAAGAGCTCGTCCCCCCATCCCTGGGTGGCCTGTCTCAGGGATGCTTCGTCTGACAGGGGGACGCCCTCGGCGATGGGCAGGCGGAGGAACTCTCACTGGCGGCGGGGTGAAGGCAACAGCGGGCCGCCGGGACAGGGTGTGTCGGAAAGCTTCCGTCTGCTCTTTGGCTGTGAAGAGCTGTTGGGTACAGCTCTGCACCGCGTCGCCAAACAGCCAAACCTGGGAAATTGGTGAGTCCAGGAACCAAACCTTGTCCGCAGAGGAAGCAGCTTGCCCGCAAGCTTAACCCTCTGGGGACCAGAGTGTTTTTGGGGCCCTTGGGATGTTTTGACATGCACTGACATTTGTGCTTTTTTCAGTTATTTATAAACATGTTAATGGCAAAGGTGTAAATTCACTCTATATAGCACAAACTTGGCTACCATGATGAGTGAGCAACATGTATGTACATGTTTGTATTTTTAATAGAATAATGTTTATGCGTGGTTATTGAAAAAAATAAAAATGAAAGTTGCTGAAATAAGACCACAAAACACATATTGATTATTTCTTCACAAGACTTTTGAAAATTGTATCACATAGCCTAATATTTGCTCCAAAACTATGTGAGAATCATCCTGACTACTCATTCAGATAAGTCAATAAAGTCTTTTACATTTTTAATGACGTGTTTTGTTTGAGAAAGCTTTATGCAGGAGGCGTGGTCTCTCATTAATATGTGTGGAATTTCACACCTGAGAAAGACAAAGACCCTCCCCATAATGGCCCTATTAGGTGTTATCAGGCCATATCATTACAGGAGCCTTGCACAAAGAATGAGGAGATTTAAAAAAGAATGGCTTTTAGATTGTTTGGATTTATATAAGGAAAATACTGGGTGCAAACGTCTGGACACTTCTATCACACACCCTTCACCATATAGACATGGTTTTATTTCAGTTCAAAGTTCAAAGTTAGAGTTGGAAACATCTTGAAAAGAAAATTGTCTTTCTCCATAAATGTCTTAGTTTGATCATACATATTTCAAAGTTGAGGATTCATTATTTTGATATAGCTTGAACAAACACTATAACATCTTAGTTGATTAGTTTATTGACAAAACATACTATATATTTAACATATGAGCAGAAACTCCTAAAAAAAGCTTATTTGTTGTCTATTTTAGAGTAAAAACTTTATCCAAAACGAGTCAACGAAATGTTATTTAGTCTGTAACAGTGCGTATCTGTGCGTTCATTCATTCATTCATTCACACACACACACACACAAACATGATTCACATTTAACAGTACGCTATTTTTCCGTTTACAGACACTACGTTATTCTATAACGCGATTAGAACAAAGCACTTGCAAAAAACACTTACTTCTCAGCTGAATCTGTTCATCCTCGCAGTGAAAATAAACCCAGTGGTAAATGTCCCAGGATTGTTCCTCATATAGCCGCACAAGACGACAGTAGATTAATCTGACTAAAAAATAATGTGTGTTTTCAGAGTTTATGGGCGTTAACGCGTCTCAATGTGTTGCTTCACATATTTGCGTTTGAATAGCGCGTGCTCTCCGTGGGCGTGTCACATTACCAGGGATAATCAGCTGAGAGAACGATAATGAGACGGGCTGACACGTCTCTCTTTTTATATAGATGACATAAACGGAGAATATTAATTTTAGTTTTGAATCGGATCATTTAAAAGTACAAACTCAAACGATTTAAAAGATATATTGCTTATGGCTGGGTGAATAGTATTAGCTGAGTTGTGTTGAAGATTAGAGACGTGCTCCAGAAAAAAAGTTCACGGTGACCGAGAGGCAGAACGCACACCCTGTTTATTTTCTTTATTTTACAAAAGCACAATATTTTATTTCCATTGTATGTGGGCACATAAAAAAGTAGACATTTAACAGATTATTTTCTCATATTTCTTAACTCTATATGAACAGAAATGATGGTAGTACTTTAAGTCTATTTTTCTGCTATGTGAAAAAAAACGAGCAAAACGCGCCCGCGCGTTTCTGGTCCCCAGAGGGTTAATAAGCTCTGACCGTCAAATCTGACATGAACTCAGAGGCCTGCGAGGGGAGACAAGGATCCCCCGTCCAAGATGCAGCGGCCGTTGGACACAGTTGTGTCGCAACAGACCGCTCCACTGGAGGGATAGCCTCATAACACTTCACCGCTCCTCCATCAAGGGTAGCGAGGGGGAAGAACCACTCAGGCAGTTTTCGGCAGTAAAAGGTGCCGTCCACGACCTAGTAAGCTCTCCATGGACTTCAGGAAAAAAGGGTCCTGGGGCGGCGCCCGTTTCAGCATAGCTGACAATTCCGGATCTGGCTCGGGCAACGTTATGCTCCCAGAGGAAGACAACGCAGTCGAGTCATCATCTCCAGAGGTCAGCTCACCCTCCGATGCTGCAATCGGCGTCCTGTACTCTGGGGGAGCCCCGGGTGAAACGGCTGGCCCACCCATTACAGATGGACCAGCACGCTCCACAGGGGACTCACACGGGTGCGGTGAAAGGGAGGAGTGAGGAGCCCACAGGAAATGGTTACCGGGCGAGACATCCACCACTATCCTCTAGGGGTGTAACGATACACGTATTCGTATTGAACCGTTCGGTACGAGGCTTTCGGTTCGGTTTTCGGTACGCATTTTTGAACCGAACGGTTCGTTGGACCATTTTTCCTGCCGACCAAAATTTCGTTATTTCAAATGTAGGCGCGTCACGCGTGGCAAGCACGCTCATAATGTAAGAGATGCTGGCGTGACCACAACATTGCCCAACATCAAATGGCAAACGTAATGCAAGCGGAACGAATTTGAGCTATTCGTTATTGTGTGGTTGACTGACCGTTTATCAGTTTGGACCAATGCAGCGCGAGCCGATCTTAATCATCAGCACGAAATCCAGTAAAGAAAGCATCTGAATTCGCCACTGTGAACCGTTACACCCCTACTATCCTCCTATCACCCATCTCACGCGGCACCCGAGGGCGGGGCGTGGTAATGAAATACAGCGGTGGTTGTTCTCTCCTCCATACTCGACAACGACGGAATCCAATGGCGTGGGCGAAGGTATAATGCGTGTATTAATTTGTATGAAATAATCCCGAAAAAAGCACAAAGACGGCAGAGATGGCAAGTACAGCAGCTGCTGGAATTAGCTGAGGGTGATGTTAACAGACAGCAGACAAACGGCTAGAAGTGACAGCAGCTGCAATCCACCTGTCACTCAAGTGGCCACGCCCTTAATTATGCAGAACTTTAAGGCTTAATATAATTTAAATGGATGAGTTGTAAAAAAATTCACCCCCCTCACAGTTGTCATGAAGTGAAAAAATTAGCTATATAGACCAAAACCCCTTTTTGCTCCAGGCTGTAAACATATTTTGTTCTGCTGTAAAGTTGGGCATTTTAACATGGGGGAGATACAGATTTGACTCACTTTTGCACCCAGCCTCAAGCGGCCAGTCGATGAATGGCAGTTTAATTCACTTCCGTATTAGTTTCAAGAGCAAGACAGGTAGGTTGCCGCTTGGTGCAGAGACATTTTCTTTCCTGGTTCGGTTGAAACTCGCCCCATAATCATAGCCCAATGGAGCAGTATCGGACTCATATTCTGACTAGAATCTGAGTAGCCTATGATGACGTCAGGCTACAGAGAAACTCCAGCATATGGATTCTGTTAAGAAACTGAGCAGTTACCCGAAGATATGCTGGGATTTGAGTGTCAAAACGTGTGCTATGAATGTTTGAATTAACTTAAATAAGTGTGCCAAATGTTCACAAAGTAGCTCTGTGGTCTTCTTAAGACTGGCACTAGGTTCAACCTTTTATTTAGAATTTCAGACACACTGCCAACGTTAATACAAAAGAATGTGCAAAGTTTTCTGCACAGAAACACTCTGCCAGGTTTGTGTATAAAGTTATTACTTCAATTTATATTTATTTATTCGTAATATACACTTGATGTATTGACCCAATTTAAATGATTTAATTGGATGTGTACTTTAATTTTTTCATACTCATGTTTTCCACTTTTTCACAAGTCTGGCCCTCTGTTTGATTACATTGACGTTGAACAAAACAAACATTTGTACACAATTATTGTTGAAATTTCAAACACTGTCGCATGCTATACTACTTCTAAAGCTATTTTAACCCTCTGGGCTTCTTCGTTTAGGGGTTACACTTAGCTTCCTATCGGTCAAAAAAGACAGAAGCCTTAAAAACTAACTTTTTTTTCCCCAGGAAAACCAATCAAATATATTCTTGTTCAATAATATTTTTATTTATTATTATTTAGAATTTTTTAAGATTTTTATGATACTTTGCATTAATTATATATTTTTTATGAGCTATTTTTTTTCATTAGAATGAATGTAAGTTTTTTTTATTATTATAAAAAATACATTTTTCAATAAATGCAACATTTCACATCAAAATAGAGTGCAGGCTGCAGGCAAAAAAATTTCAAGTGAGAAGACCGCCATCCAGTGGCTTTAATATCCATGTTGTCACAGTAAAGATGTTGAAAGGTCTGAATGCTGAACCTTTGTGCTTTTTTTGTGATTCAGAGGAAACAATATCATCGGGGGTAAAGGAGACACAAGTAATAATATTTTTTTTTAAATAGTTGTTTTTCTCCTAGTTATTTATTTTCTGACAATTGTATCTGCTGCAGGTTATTGTTTCTAAAAGTGTTATCAAACAGAATAGATGTTGAAAACAAAGTCACAAAAAGTGGACTACCACAATATGGCCAACAAAATACATCATAAAAATCCATTTGTTTTTCATTTTCATGCCATTGACATTATATATTATCACTGATCATTTACCTCAGGGAACAGACTTAAGTATTCTGATGATGGTTCGAATATTTTCAGAGACAGAATGTGTTTAATTGATATTCTAAACCATCTATAAAATAGTGCATAGATGAGGGGGTTCATACAAGAATTCATATACATAATCCAACACATAATGTTCATTACAGCTGATTCATTTGAATCATATCCTGGAAAAAGAGAGGCTATGTAATATGGTATCCAACATAGAAGATAAATAGTTATAACAATCCCCAGTGTTTTTGCTGCCTTTTTTTCTGACCTGCTGACATTTGTGACAGAGTTTATGAGCCGAGCTTGATATTTTGCTACACAGAAGATCTGCCCATATAAAGATATTATTACTGAACAAGGGGCCACTAATGAAACAATGAGGTCTGTGAGAACATACTCAAACTTGACAGTAACAATACAGTCCCCGTAACATGTAATTGGGTTCTCCGTATAGAAAATAGCATTGTATAACATGATAACTGAATATATGCTTGAACATAGCCAGTTTAAAATGATACAAAAAACAGCTTTGTTGGTGGTGACCCTTGTTGAATATTGCAGAGGATCTTTCACAGCAATGTAACGATCTATAGATATAAAAACTAAATTACCAACAGATGCTGAAACAACAGTATAAAGAATAAATGGAAACAAAGAACAAAATGTCTCTCCAAAGTACCAACATGTCTCAATATATCTGATGCCCATCAGTGGTATAACAATCAGTCCCACAAGCAGGTCAGCCACAGCCAGAGAGAGAATGAGCAGGTTGGTTGGAGTGTGAAGCTGCTTGAAGTGAGAGATGGAGATGATCACCAGCAGGTTCAGAAACACAGTGAAAAAAGATGCTAAAGATATGAAAATGTACAAAACAAAGTACTCCACTTGAGGTTTGATTTCTTTGATGCATGACAAATTGTTGTTTAAAAAGCAGTAGTCCATTTCTTGATTATCTGCATCTGTCATTACCCTGTTAAGCATTTTAAAAATGTATTAGGAATACCCCAAGTTTTAAAAATAAGACCACTTCATAGCAACATTTTGTAGCTGTGGGAGGATTTTCACGCTTGTTGGTTTGGTGTCAGTTTTGTGGATTCATTTATATTAAATGAAACCTGGCCACATCATACACAGGAGGGTTGATGCATTGATTTTAAACACACCCATAAGTTAAATATTCATAAGCATGGGGATGTTAATTCTATAGTTTATGGCCTAACAAAAATTATGAATTCAGATTTTTGTTTAATTTACACCACACAGTCAGTTTGGTTTGGTTACTATCCAGGTTGCTTGAGCAATTCATAGAAGCTACAAGAATTACAGACTGTTAGTTACCTATAATTGTTAGTTATAGGTAAATCTCTGTGTATTACCTGCCAACTTTTTTACTGCCATTTTGTGAACTACAGATGTCTACTTAACAGTCCTCGCACTACAGACTATCTTCCACTGATTATCAAGCCATTTTAAATGTGCAAACACAAGAAGTATATTTGTAATTTTTCAAATATTTTTTCAGTTCTACCTCACTTAATTCCCTGTTTCTACTGTGAAATCTTTTTGGTACAACTCATTGGTCCCCATTGATTTGTGGCCATAACACATCTCCATATTATACTCTTTCCACAGGTTATCCATAGACTGTAGTGGACACACATAAACAAACGATTCATAACAGAGCTAAATGAGGAATCACAAATTTGTGTATCAGAAACTGTGACACAACTTTTTCTGTGTGACTTTTTTTCTTTATTGCATACATTAACCCTCTGGGGTCTGAGGTGTTTTCTGGGGCCTGGAGGTGTTCTGACATGCACTTGACATTTATGCTTTTTTCTGATACTTGTGACATTTTCATGGCTAAAGTCTGATTACACTGTATTCAGCACAAACTATGCTACAGTAATATGTCAGCAGCATGTATGTAAAAGTTTTTAGTTTTGAGAGAATGACGTTTATGCGTGGTTTGTGAAAAAACATTGTCACTGAAATAAGGTCATGAAACCCATACTAATTATTTCTTCATAAGACTTTTGAAAATTGTATCACATAGCCTAGAATATTTGCTGCAAAACTATGTGAAAATCATCCTGATTACGCATTCAGATAAGTCAATAAAGTCTTTTAAAATTTGTATGACGTGTTTTGTGTAAGAAAGCTTTATGCAGGGAGGCGTTAACCTAGCCTGGCTCCGCCCTCCTACGCACTTCCGCTCAATTTTATTTTCCTTCAGTACTACGTCTGGGATTGTGCTGTAGACTTTGGTTTCCAGAAATAATTTTTTTACCGGTCCAATCAGCGAACAGAGGGAGTGGCTGAGAACGATGACGTTGATGTAGCGCGTCAGTTTGAGTTGGAGTTCAGTGATGGCAGTGGAGAAAGACGTGAGAAAATCTATTCGGTCCGTTGTTGCAAAACTGCCGAATATCCAGAAGTTAAAGCCGGAGCAAGATCAATGTTTGCTAAGTGTTGTTGGTGGCCATGATGTTGTGGCCCTCCTCCCCACGGGGTTCGGGAAAAGTTTAATTTTCCAGCTCACTCCGCTAGTGGTGAATGAGTTAGCTAAGGCGAACGATAGGATGCAAAGCCGATAGTTGTTGTCGTCTCCTCTTGTTGCACTAATGGAGGACCAAGTGAGGGAGGCAGAAAGGTTAGGAGTTGGTGCTGGGCAGCTCGGCGTGCACGATGATCACTGTACAGCATTTGCGGCAGATCCGAAACGACCGCAGCGGCGTATTGTTAATGATTACACCCAGCTTCGACAGTTGACTGAATACATCACTGTCCTTAGTGTCAAATATACATTTAGAATTTAGAATTGTTCCTTGAACTCTTAAATTCGATGAACAAAACATGCAGCTCTCGTTGACAGACATCTTATTCTAAACATAATCCTCTGATCATTCGGACTTGTTTTTTTTTATTGCTTAAAACAATACACAAGTAATAACAGAAAACATAATACAAAAACAAACAAAAAATAATAATAAAAACAAAACAAAAATAAAACAGTAGGGGGATAATATAAAATAAACATGAACAAGTTAAGAGAATTACATGACACTGAAAAAAGGAAAATAATTACAAACAGATAATGTTTTTAAGGCTTTTTTTGTTCTCAGACAACTTAATTGAAAAGAGGTATTTTTAAAATTCTTTCACAAATATAAGAAAGAGAGGTTTAGCATTTAGATATTTAGATTTATGAATATGGAATTCGGACTTGTTCTTTCCAGCCGGTTTCGGCGCATGACATACGTCACGACCACACGTTAGCGATTGGCTATGGCAGATCCTGAGTGACGCTGGGCAGATCCAATAGTTTTGAACTTTAACAGAGAACCCGCCTACAAGGAAGTAAACGTTTCTCAATGGAGCGAGGCCAGACTCTCTGTACAAATGAAATGTACGAGAGTCTGGTAGAACCAGGCTAGCGTTAACCATCCTTTAATTTGACACCTGAGAAAGACAAAGACTCTCCCCTAATGGCCCTGTGCTATCAGGCCCTATCATTACGAGGAGCCTTGCACAAAGAATGAGATTTTAGATTGTTTGGATTTATTTAAAACACAACATAACCCAAATATACACAACAAAGGACAAATCTAAAGACAGAGGCTTGAACAGTCACACAACTTTGTGTCATCCCTGAAACATAGTACATACCTGTCATTTCCAAGGTGTTTGATTTTTCATTTTACCATGTTCATGTACAGAGACTCCTGTGAATGTTGAAGTCAGCAGGACTCATCAGTGGCATCTGGTCCCTGTAAAAAAATAATAATAAAAATAAACACATGTGAACATGCTGATATCAAGAGAAACTATAGGGCTGCATGATTTTGGGAATACATTTTAGATTTTTCTGGTTACAATTATTATTAAATATATATAAAAACACCACGTTTGTTGTGCATTGTTATAGCCTATGTATAGGGCTGCATAAATAATACAGATAGATAGCAGGCAGCCTATATATCGTTAAAAAGGAACACTTCAGTAACACTACACTAGACAAAAATATATGGATCATCATGTTACTTCAAACGTTTCCATTCGTTATGAAATGAGATTGGAGAAAACATGAAGCCTAATGTTTGGCGTGTTTTGCTTTTCAAACCCACAGCGCGAGTGACTCAAACTCAGCGCGTGCAGAGGACATTTACTGAAGCGATCGAGCCGCTCCAAACTATGAAACATTATTGTTACATTATACATATCTACATTTGAGCAGATATCCACAAACACAGTATTTAACAGTAAACACGGGTCTAAACATTATAATATTCACTATTGAAGAATAAGCATACTTTATATCATGCTGTGTTTAATTATCGAAGACAAAAACATTCTTGTGTGTACATGTATATTCACTCCAATCTCATTTCATAACATTTTAGTCTGGAACCAGTTTAACTAGTAGCTACAATGTAAAGCACAACCATAAGACGCTTATTATGTGTCTTACCTTAAAAATCGTTCTAATAATCAAATCGTGTTCTTCCAAGGTTAATCCAAGGTGCATAAACCAAACACTTCCAAACTCGACGAAAAGCAGAGCAGGACTGAAGTCGCTGAATCTTTGTTTAGAGGTGATGAGGGCGTTGCGTTCCTCCGCGTGGATCATTTGAATTTGAACAACTCGTGCGCGTGTGGGCGTGGTCACATTAGATCTAATGAACTCGGGCTGAAGAAACTGTACATGTCGTTGCTTTCATACGGATTACTTAAACAGAGAATATTTGTTTTTGGTATGATTTACATCATTTAAAAATGGAGACTTAAAGCTTTGTAAAGACATAACTCTCACGTGTGGGTGGCAAGTATTTGCTGAGTTAAAGATCATTTTCAGAATGAACTTCACATTGAGAGAGACGACAAAACGTGCATCATGTTTATTTTCTTTATTTTATGAAAAACACAACATTTTGTTTTTATTATTAGTGTACACAAATAAAAGTGTTAAAAACTGTTAAATAGACATTTAACAGTTTTGAATGATGTATAACACTTGCCTGTATCACAAAAATCGAAAGAGTTATTTGAGTCTCTTTTGCACTGATAAGAGACCGCCGACCCCAGGGGGTTAAGGCCTGTTAATGTAACAGTGCTACTTAAAAACACACAGGACTTTTACCCTTGTGATACACAAGTAACAGACATACATACACAGAAATCTTATAAAACTTGGTGCATCAGGTCTGACTCAAAGGCCCCCCTTGGTCACTGAAAATGTGTTCTGGGCAGCCAAAGGGGAGAATGAGTGCCGTCCACAGAGCCTTGGCGGTAGTGGGAGCAGACTGGTCTCGGGTGGGCACTGTCAGCGTGTAGCGGGAGAACAAATCTGTAAACACAAGGGTATACTGGAAAGTGTCAGACGGCCTCCCGAGGGACAGAAAGTCTAATGCCGCAATTTCGAATGGGTAACTGGCAGAAATGGGGCACAAGGGTGCTTTTTGTGGTCCTCCCCATTTGCCTACCACATTAGGCTGCCCATGCTCTGGCATTTGTGCTCATGAGCATGGGCACCTCCGCGGTAGTGAGACCATTTTATTGCCACCTTCATGACCTGCAGCTTTGTGGTATTCCTCCCACACTCGTCGGACTTGAGCTACAGCAACGATGATTTGTTGCAAAGGGGCTCCAGTGTCTGGCTCGGTGACAAGTCTAACAAGGGCCCCATCATGTAGTTCCAGCCGGTCCCACTCCCTCAACAAGCAACGGAGCTGTTGAGACAAAGTAGAGAGGTTATTCATTGTTGGGGGCCCACCTTGTGTTTTCCAGGTGTGCAGCTGCCGCAGGTCAGGGTCCATCTTCTGCTGGCATTTACATCGTTCTGCCTTCTTGGGTGATTCTGGAGGTGTGGTGCTCCGTACTGTATGTACTGCAATGTCTGCTGCCTCTCCTGGTATTCGAGAAAGCACATCTGCATCGCTATTAGCGGTTCCTGGCCGGTAGCGGATTTCATAAGAGTAATTGGCTAGTTGGGCCACCAATCTCTGCTCCGTTGCCCCCAATTTTGCAGTCTCCAGATCCATCTAAAGGGTTGTTGTTGGTAAACACCGCTCAAGGCCAGCAGTTCTAGCTTGAAGGAGCTATAATTTTGATCACTGTGTTCCGGGGGATGGAGGCTACGGCTGGCGTAGGCTATAACCATCTCCCTGCCATCTTGGACTTGGGCAAGGACTGCTCCAAGGCCATTCAGACTTGCGTCTGTGTATAGCCTGAACGGGAGTTTAAAAAATCGGTGTAGGCCATTATGGGGGCACTGAGGAGGGCCTGTTTGAGCGACTCAAAAGCTACCTGGCATTCGGGTGTCCATTTGATGGCTGAAGAGGGACGATGGGCACTTCCCTGCAGGAGCTATTTGAGGGGGGCAGTTACCTTTGAGAAAGCAGGGA